GCGCCCGCAGGGGGGGGAGCGGGTTTGGGGGAGAGGGCTGCGGGGGGGGGGGGAAGGGGGGAGGCTCAGTTCTGTGCTTGCTTGAGAAGGTACCAGGAGTGGGGGATGTTCACCGGAGGCAAGGGGGGCATGAAAGGAAGAAGGAAGGGGTTCTGACTGGAAAGCTAGACTGTTGGAGCCTGTCTAAAAAGGACCCAGGAGCTATGAAGAGAGAGACCATGAGAGAAAGGAGCAGAGAAGTGATGTGGAAGGGAGCGGGTGGCTTCCCAGACAAGAAATCAATGGAGTACTTGAGAGGAGTCGGGGCTGTGAGGGAGCTGTGGGTGGGACCATCAACATGGATGAGAACAGGGCCGAGTATGAGGGAAAGGAGATGGCAGAGTAGTCACTGAAACTTTGGGGGTCAGAGAGGATCAGGGACAGGGTCCCCCAAGAAGGTCTGCTCTGAGAGGTCACTGGAGGAGAACCTGATAGACTCTCTCATGTATGTATGTATGCATGCATCTGTCTATCTATCTATCTATCTATCTATCTATCTATCTATCTATCTATCTATCTATCTAATAGAGGTTTCTTACTCTTAGGACCTCCAGGCCCCACAGAACAATCTCCAAGGGCCAGCCAGGGCTCTTCAGGGAAGCCCCACCCAGAGACCACGCCCACCTTCCCCTTGCACTTAGCACCCTAGCTCCGCCACAAGCCCCCCAACCCTCTCAATCTCCAGAGCTCCCACCAGCCCCGACCCAGCATCCCCACTCACAGACTACGCTGTTCTTGCGCTCGCGATACACCAGCTGCACCAAGCTGTGGAATTGGGCCAGGTAGAGCTGCAGGCCCTTCTCTGTGGTCTCCCAGCTCTCGGGATCCTGCCAGGGTTGCAGCTGGAGGATGGTGACATTGTTGGCGGGGCCTTCCAGTGTATGTGTCAGGATTTTCCCCATCGAGGCATTGCCCTGATGTCTCACGTGTTCGGGGTCTGGGAAGTAGGAGATCTGGAGCATATGCAGGCTTTGGGAGCCTGGGGGAAGAGTCAGTGCAGCGTCAGGACCTCCAGCCAGGGAAGGGGTGGCTGACAGCCAGAGATAATAACCCCTTACCCAGAGGCCTGCCGCCCGTTTCTCAATCCTATAAAGCACTCTCCTACCTGCCCTCCTATTTGATGCTCACAACAACCAAGCCAGGAGAGGACGGGGATTATTATCTTCGCTTTACAGACGAGGAAACTAAGGCCTGCAGTTGGAAAAGGCATCCCTCTGTGTCTTTGCCTCCTCCCTCACATGTCCAGCCTATCACACTCCAGCCTATGATAAAATCCCAATTCCAGCCCCAGTTCCCTTTCTTCTGGGACACTGTCATCTGGGCTTGGGTGCCACAGAAACTTGTTTCTCAATTTCACCCTTTTGGATCTCCACCTGACCCAACTCCCTTAAAGCCCGCCAGTGACATACCCTACCCCTCCCAAATAATAATAGCTAATATCCATTAAGGGCTTGTCACGCCCTGGGCGCTGCTCTGCACACATTATTAACTTATGCATGCCTTCCTCCTAATGCCTTAACGCAGTAGCTACTGTTATTAACCCCATGTGTATGGGAATCTGAGGCTAACATGGTGAGGCAAGCCAAGTATTTGAACACTGGTAGCAGAAGCCTACCGGTCTTTGTCTGGAGTCATAGATTGCTTCCCCATAAAGCACCCATCCACGGGACAGATCTCGGAGTCTGTCCCAGTTTGGGATCCACAGCAAGTGATCTGGCTACAGCTGCATTTTCTGGCCAGTCTCGGCGTTCAGTTTCATCAAATGGCTTGGAGTTCCTCATGCTGACTTTTGGCCACTGTGTGCAGAGCTCATCAGGGTTGCTCTCCTGCCCTTGTTCTGCCTGGCAGATCTTTATCTGTGTTTCAAGACCCAGCTCCATGGCCTTCTCCTTGGAGCCCTTTTCCCGATGCTGCCATTTCCCCCCTCCTTTTCAAGTGGGTCTGAGCAAAGTGTGTTGCATCAACACAGATTTCGTGGGATTCCTAATGTTAGTGCCCAAACACACCGGACCCCTCCTAGCTGTTAAACTGGGTTTGGTCATCCCTGCCTTCAATACCCCGAAAAGTGCCTTGGCGGTATGTATTGGTATCAGGAGAATCGCTGGATGAGTATGTGTGACATCGTAAACCACCCCCACCCGGTGGTGCATTTGAGAAGTTGCTTTCTGTGTTTAGGGTGTGAGTAACCTTAGCGGCATTCATTCCTTATCTGTTCTGTGACCCAGCTTTCTCCTCCGTGAGATCAATGCGGTAACATAAACGAGTCGATGTGTGTATTAAATACAGTAAGCATTCTGAATACTGCTGGTTGGTAGCTTCAAGAGCTTCCAGCCGCGGAATCCTTCCGGCCCTGGGCTCTTCTCCCGCCCAGGTCCCACCTCACCAGCTACACCTCCAGCCTTTCTCCTCTTTCCCTACCTCTCCATCTCAATCCCCAAACTTGTCTCCGTTCTCCTGATGTTTTCCCATTCTCTCCATCTCAACTCCTCGCTGATTCTCTTCTATCTTCGCCAGACTGACACTCTGCTCTGTCTCCTCTCCTCATCCTCACACACTCTCTCTCTCTACAGGTCCCTTCCACCAGCCTCCTGAAAGTTACCTGAACTTCTTCGCCTTGTCTTTGGAACATAAACTGATGCCCAGGACCCAGCGTGCACCGTAGAGTGACCCTAGCAGCTGTAGACAGCCATGCGGCGGGCTTAGCTGCCCTACAATCGCGTCAAAGTTTCCAAATACACCAAGTCTCCAGAACACCCCCCAGGCAGGAGCCGCGTCCCTAACTCACCATCTGAGTCTTCTTGGTTACAAAAGGCGCAGCCAGGCAGCAGCAGCAGCAGCAGCGACAGCAACTTCGTCAACATCCTGGAGCAGAAGTTCTGGGTCCCACCTGGGCCGGGGCAGGCTCGGGCTCTGCAGGCTGCAGATTAGAAACGAGAAGGGAAGCTGTCCGGGAGGGCCGGGAGCTGAGCCGAGGGTGGGAAGAGACCAGGAATGCCTGGAGGAAGAGGGAGTCAAGCTTTTAAAGTGTTACTTCTATCTACCTCATTTCCTACTAGGGGGCCGGCTCGCCTCGGCCCCTCCCAGCCTTGGGCCCTCCTGCCTAGACCTGCCTGTTCCCTTCTCCCGCTGCTTGCTTCCGAGGCTTGAGGAAGAGCGGAAAAGGGGGAGAAGGGCTTGGTGAGAAGTCCGCTGAGTCAGGGGGTGGGGCGTCTGCTTTCGTTGTTGCGACTCCAAGAATGTAGAGATCATAAGGTTACTGATGGGGAAACTGAGGTCCGAAGAGATGGTGGGACTTGCCCAGAGTTTGTACGTCGTGATGACGGCAGATCCAGGATTGGAATTTAGCTTTCCAGAATAACTGTCTATATTTTATCAGAAGTTTAAGTGTAGGAATTACACAATCAGGGGCTTGGCTCTCAGAAATAGTCACAGAACCCAGTGAGTATATAGGAGCTCATTATTTGTAACAGAGATTGACGAACAATCCAGATAAATCTCAGCATCAAGCAGGTCATAGTCATTTAGTGGACAATGACATCACAGTTAACGTGGTTTTTTAAATTTTTTTTATGAAGTAGAACAGAATAAGAAATTTGGTGCATCATTCTTAGTAAGCAATATTTCCTGAAATATGTGTTCACTTATATAAGGGCGTTTTGGGTTTGTGTATTTTCTTCTTTTTTTAAAAAAACAAAACAGAATCTCACTATCTATATCAGGCTGATTTTGAACTCACAGAGATCCAGCTGCCCCTACCTCTTGGGAACTAGGATTTAAAGACATGAACCTCTGTGCCTGGCCTTTTAAGCATTTTTTAAGTTAGCATGCACAGCAATGGGTTTCATTATGGCATTTTCACGCACGCACACACACACACACACACACACACACACACACACACACACACACACTCTACATATGAGAGAAAACATACAGTACTTGTCTTTCCAAATCTTGTTATTTCACTTAACAAGATGACCTGAAGTTCCATTTGTTTTCTTGTAAATATTACAATGTAATTTCCCCTTTGGCTAAATAGAATTCTATTTTGCTTATAAGCCACAGTTTTTATTCATTCATGTGTTGATTGATGTGTGGATATGTTTCAATGATGGGTTTGGATGGCAGTATGAAATGCAGATATTATTTTGGGAAGCAAGTAGATTCATTTAAAGTCAGTCCCCCAAATTAGGAAAGTCCCTATGGTGAAATACTACTCATAAGCAAAAACAAAAATAAAAACTTCCCTTCAAAACCCCCACTTAATTTTCATATTTCTTAGGATCACTGAAAGTTGTATTACTTATTTATATATTTGTCTGTATCCCCACCAAAATGCAAGCAGCATGGGAATAGAGGCTGCCCAATCTTGCTCCATGCTGATCCAATGACGCACGTCACACATAACCATCAGCTAGACGAATGACAGGGTGAGCTTGTCATGATTTGTACACATTTCTAGGAGTAAATTATAGACCACTATATGCATATTAGAACCATTTGTTCATCTGTCAGCCACACAATAACCAAGCACACCTGTTTCTGTATGGAAGCAAACAAATCTGGAAAGATATGTATTAGAGCAGTTTATTTCCAGGGAGGGGAGGCGATGGGAGGAGAGGAGAGGAGAGAAGAGGGGAGGAGAGGAGAGGGGAAAAGGAAGGGGGAGGAGAAAGGTGGGAGAGAAAGACACAGAGAGACTGAGATAGGAGTGGGGAATCTTGTGAAAAAAATTACCACTATTTTGCAAAGGGTTTTTCCCATTATAAATATAATTGCTTTAAATGGCTGATTTTATGTCTAGAATATGATCATATATTTCTTGTTTAATTAAAAACAGGAATTTGAATACTAGGTTAAGGTACATCCCTACGTTAAGATAATCCGTGGTGTGGGAAAGGACGGCAGACAGGGTGACACTGATGGTGCCATAGGGATTGTGGACCAAATACAGATAGCAGCATTTCCCACGTTGTACTTATTTTAAAATGCACTGCTGCCCAAGAAATGGATTTATAATCCCACCCATGTTTCCTAACCATCTGTCTGTCTGTCTGTCTGTCTGTCTGTCTGTTGGAATGCACAGGAGAATGTCTGGAGGTTGACAGGGCTCAAGGTTGCCCCTGCAGAACAAAGGCCAATAGAGGAACTATAACTTTTTATTTGGTATCCTTCTTGCTGTCATAGTGGAATCTGGGACAAGCCATGGTTATGTGTGGGCTCCCGTTCTCTGTTTCTTTAGGCACTCCCATGCTCACCTCTCTGTCGTTGCAGATTTTATAGCTCATCATCTTGCTCTGGATTGAAGACCGGAGGGGGGTGGGCTTCAAAGAGGAGTGATTTAAATCATGACTAATCACATTGTCTTGAATTCAAAAATGATTGTGAACTGCCTTGCATTGGAAGAATTATTGCTTCGTGTTCATAGAATTGCATTCTAAATACATCTGTCCCCTCCACCGAGAAGAGATACAGCATTACCGATAACTCAAATGGCATTCACTCATAGCTCTCTTCCCCATATTGGCCCCTGAATTAATTACATCAAATGAAAATGAAAATTGACTATTTTTTCATTTCTTTGCATTTCTGTATACTTATGCCGTATATCCATGCACCTTAAATGATATGGTGGCTTCTTCTACTTTGTGGAAATAACACTAGCATACATTAGTCCTCTTCAATCTGCTTCTCTCACTTGGGTATATGTACAGTCATTGTCACAGCTTTAACACATTCCATTTTAAGGGCACTGCCATTGGGGGCTGGAAAGCTGGCTTGGCAGGTAAGAGTACTGTCTGCTCTTCCAGGTGACCCAGGGTTGATTCCCAGCACCCACATAGCAGCTCACGGATTTAACTATGCTCACAGTCTGTAACTCCAGGAAATTTAACACCCTCTTCTGACCTCTGAAGGTACTAGGCCTGCACAAGATACAAAGACACACATGCAGGCAAACATTCACACACATAAAGTCAAACAAACCTGAAAAGAATATATCACTATTTATTCACCATCTGATATTGGACATTACTTTTTGTGTTTGTTCATGTATGTATGTGTATATGTACAAGTACATATGCGTGTCTTCCTTAATTGCTCTCTATCTCATTCTTTTTCCTTCTTTTCATGTGTTGTATGTGTGCATGTGTACATTCAGTTCACATGTATGTAGGCACATATGAATGTGAAAGGGAGCATGTATGTACATATGTGTGCAGAAACCCAAGGCTGACATCAGTGATCTTCTTTGGTCATGCTTCCATTGTCACTCAGTCGCCTAGAGACTGAGGTCAGTGAGCTGGCTCAGCAGGTTAACACACTTGACAGAGTTTGCTCCCCAGAACCCAGAGGTAGAAGGAGAGAACTGACTCTGGTATACATGAGGCTTCTCTCCATTGAATTTAATTAGTCTCCCCCCCCCCAAGCTTGAATAAAGCTAGTCTCACTAGCCAGCTTGCTCTGGGGAGTCCTGTCTCTGTCTTCAGAGCCCAGAATTATAGGTGGGCCACCATGCCCACCTTCATTTGCCTGAGCTCTGGGGTTCTGCATTTTAACCACTGAGTCATTTCCCTAGCCTTTCATCTCATTTTTTGAGACAGGGTCTCTCACTGAACCTGGAGCTTACTGACTGGCTGACCAGCAAGCCCATGATGCCTCCTGTCTTCGTGTCTCCAATGGTGGGGTTGCAGGTGCACCATGCCAGGCTGGGCTTTTTATATGGGTGCTGAAGACCCGAACTCAGGTCCCCCTGCTTGAAAGGCAAGCAGGTTTTTGACTGAGCCATCTCCCCATGCTGACATGTATGTTTATTTGTTTATTGCATGCTATGAGCAGTGCTGACATGTGCATTCATGTTCGTGATTCCTCATGTCTAGATGAGTTTGTGTAGCTGCACTCCTGGGCGTGGACTTGCTGAGTCACAGGGTAGATGGTTTTCAATTTGGGTAGATTTGCCAAAATCTTTTACAAAGATGTGTGCTAATTTGCATTCCCAGCAGTGTGCAGTTCCCAGCTTCACATCCTTGCCAGCCCTTGGTAGCACCAGGTGGGTGGTGTAACACGGCACTTGAATTTGGCTTGACTTTTGCTGATTCCTAATGAGCTCCTGTGTCTCTTCGCTTTGACTTTTCGTCCTTTGCGTCCTGGAAAAGTGTTTCGGAATTGAAGGAAACGAATCTCACACTTCAACCATTATTCACATGCAATCTGGGATGGAGGGCTGGTGTCAGTGGTGAGGGGGTGGAGGCCCAGATCCACACTGTCACCCTCGGCAGCCTGGGTTTCCCTAGATATTTAGAAATCTTGACTTGGGCTAAACCGGGCTTCATGGCTTTGGCACTGAAAAGAATTTCAGGACAGGCAGGCATGTGATGAAACGGAGATTTTACGCAAGCAATCTTAAGGTAGGCTTAAGTGCGAGATTAGGAAAAGGAGAAGAAGAAAGGAAGACATAGCTCAGAGCACAGGCATGGGCTTCTCCAAGAGGGAGCAGCAGAAAGGAAAATAGACAGAGTGGCTCTGGGCTCCGCAAAGGACACTCACAATCAGACTACCTTAGTGGTAACTGTATATACACCATTTTAATGGCTCTCCAGTTACATCTCAAAAGGTTGATAAGTGAGCGGCTCAGCTGCTATTGTTCCTTACACACACACACAGATACACACACCCCAAATAAATAAATAAAGTTGCTGAAGGCTCTTCCCTCCTTTTCTCTCTCTTGCTTTTAAACATTCTATTTATTATTTTATGCATATGAACATTTGCCTGTGTGTATGTATATACACTGTGTGGTTATATACACAGAAGCCAAAAGAGGGCACTGAATCCCCTGGAACTGAAGTTAAGAAAGGTTGTAAGCCTTCTGGGAATCAACCCAGGTCCTAACTGCAGAGCCATCTCTCCAGTCCTCCCAGGTGAGATTATACTGGCTTTGGAGGTCTTCTGACAAATTAGACTCTGATAAGGTAAAGCCAGGAGCCAAGAGTGTTGCACAAGGGGTTTAGTCCATGTCCCTTCCTGTAAGTGGAGTTTCTGGTGACATTCCTAGAAAATTGCAGGTTGATAGCTAGGAAGGGAGAAAGGCCTTGAGCATCTGTTAACTGCACTGCAGCTCTTCCTTGCTGTTGGTAAGATGCTTTAACCAGTGACAGGATGGGGGGTTCCT